CGGTGAACTCTGGAGAAGAAGCCAGAGCCCGAAATTTTCCGTCATTGGCGTTCTGCTCACCGTGTTCTGGCCATCACGTTGTTCTTCTTGGGCTGATTGTTGACTGGGCTGCCCACACCGTTGCCGTTCTTCAATGAGCCCTTCCTGGCCAGCTCTCTCTGTTTCTCTGCAGAAACAGAAACACGACATCGGCTTCAAAAGACATCTAACGAGTCCTGAAGGTCAGCGCGCTTGGCTTGGCTTGTCACACGCGCTTCTCCAGCTTCCGACATCAAGCATTGGTCTTTTTACAGACTTGAAATGTTTCTCCCCTGCCCTTGTGTAACTACTCACAAGCTGAATAAGAGTCGCATAATTAAAACGAGCGCTCATCAGGAAGTGTGATGATGAGAAAAGGGAATTGGGTTTCATTTCTCTTGCTGCTTAGGTGAAACGCTGTGAATCATAAACTGTCATTTTCACCATCAGAGGAACCTGGGGAAGTCAACACAATTTTTTTCATTATGATTACGTAATATGGTGATTGCGTAATATTTTAAGCAGCAAATTCACCCGTTTTTGTCCATCTCAGGGGGCGGCCATTTTGCCACTTTCTGTCAACTGAAAATGACCTCACAGTTGGGCTCAGGTAATGACCAATCACAGCTCACCTGTTTTCTGAAGCTGAGCTATGATTGGTCTTTACCTGAGCCCTGAGAAACTGTGGCAACATGGCCACACCCTGAGATGGACATAAACGTATGGATTTTACTGCTTAACTCATATTCCACAAACATAATATTAATCAGAATGCTGTATTTAGACCAGTGGAGCTGCATAGAACATATTACTGTAAAGACATTTTTGGGGTTGGCTCCCTCTCCAATATTTTCAGACAAGCGATAAATGTTCTCTGTAGGGGGAGACGCCTCCCAAAATGGCAACAAGATTGAGCTCGTTGAGAAAATCGAGGCACGCAATGAGATGTGGAAATATTTTGCTGACACGGATGGCAGTTCGGGAAAGCCGAAAGGTAGTACAAACGATGTCTGGAAAACCCTGAACAACCTCATTAAAACGGATGAAGGAGCGAAAGGTTAGCATGCGCGATGCATTTGAACCACTTCCCTTCGAAAAGACGTGTCAGTTATTTTGTGACAAGCAAAACTTGTGCTATACTGGTTGCATTTGCTGAGGCAATCCATCAGTAGTGTTGTTTGGAGCAGTTCAGAGCCGAGCGTTTGTGACACCTTTTCCAATTTCAGATTCTCGTTTATTGGCTCTCGTGAACCATTTCCAGGATCTCGAATCCAACTCTGAATTGAACTAGTGAGGGAAATGTCTGTGACGTTGCAGTTGCTCAATCGGTTTATTTCAAAGGTCACTGAATAATCAAGCTTGCGTCCTAAAAAAAATTGGATGAGTGATGAGACATTTGGATACGACAAAATAGATATTTATAGAAACTCAACCATCATTGGATTACATTGGGGTTAAGGTAGAACAAAAAGAAGACACGAACATGATGATATCAAGCGATACTTTCAATTCTCACCGATTTTAACCTGCAGGGGGGAAGGCTTGTAGTTGATTGTGACGGGTTCGCCTTCTCTGTTGTCTGAGTCGGCCTCCGAGGCCGTGGACAAGGCTGGGTCCTGGCAACATGAGGCCAAAAATATGCATCAGTCAATAGTTAGCATGTCTGGATAAAATGTCGCAGTTTGGGGTTCAGTTAAGGCTGGAGAACTGATCAAAGTCCAATCAACATTGCAAGGTAGTGGAATACAATACAATGCAATTTTCAAACCAAAAGGCCCTGCGTAATTCTAGTTACATATACATGCATCTTTGCTTTATACAATAGCGTCTAGACAAGTTCAGTGCTTCAGAAGTACAGTCCAACATGAAACAAGGAAAGTTCAAGTGATGAAGCCACAGATCTGGTCAAACATGCTGTGTCAAATCTTAAAGCCAATGTGCTGAATATAAACAGGCCAGGATCAGTCCCTTTTTGGACCAAGGGCGGGGTTAGCTATTTCCCCCACATTGGGTTACTTTCAGCTCATCCATTTTAAGAGTGTATAAAAATTAAATCAGCAACAAATGCACAATTATTGCAATAAATTGTTTTAGAGATCCATTTTACTGCACTTTGTGGAGAAAGCACAAAGAGATCAGATAACGCTGACTTGTCTTTCAATGATGTACACACTTATTTTGTTTTCTTTGGGGCACCTTTAATTTGATATATGTAACCAAGCAGGTCATGGAGAAGTCAAGGGAAGCGTAAACACATATACATGACACTGCACATGAGTCATGACATAAAAATACGAATGGGCCACCGTGCGGAGTCTGTGGACTGAAATCACGTCCCCAGCCCCACTTACAAAGCACGTAGTTCCACTGCCCCTTCCTCTCTCTCTCTCTCACTCACACACACTATTGCCCATCATATTTTTAAACCCTAAATCATCAACTCCAATACAGGCTGGAATAACTTGCTGCGTGGATGCTGGTGATGTGGCTTCTGGGTGAGGATGATGATGATGATGAGGAGGAGGACGTGACAATTGCGGCTCGCTTCACGTCCCGATGAACGGAGGAACACAACTGATATCCGAAATTGACCATAAAACATCTCATTCTCACTTCACATTATGACAAAAACCAAATGCTTGGTTTGACACATCCGCTCGTTCAGGCGACATTTACCGGAACCAGAACGCATCTCGTGTGCACAGCAAGGCCACGCGCATTTCCAATCAGACGGTAAATGCGCTTCTCTCTTTTTGCGGAGAGAGTATTTTCAGAACAAACCACACATGAAAACAACATTACAATAATGGTGTTTTTACCAGCGGCTGCATCTCCCCCTCCTGCACAGCGTTGGGCACTTGGAATCTGTCGATCTCCTCCATCATGCCGCCTCCTTTTCGCCCAACAAGACGACGCAGCCAACGACCAGATCGCGTTTGGAAGGTGACGTTCGTGGGGTTCCGATCAGACGTGAAATAATACTAACCCCTGCGCTCCCGCGAAGTCGAGCTTCATCCCAGCTGGTGCTATTGTCGACGGTGGTGATGGGGTGACCGCTGGGCCACCACCCACTTCCGGATAGGCTGGGCCAAGATGAGGACCGGGAAGCCGGCAGAGGCCCTCCACACGTTCACGTTAATCATGAGCTTTCGAGAAAGATTTTGTATGATGGAAATATTTATGTTAAACCTATTGTTATTGATAATTAATTTTGGACTTAATTCGAAATAATTGGGACGACAAAAAGAATTTCCGTCCCGAGTTTTCAGTCAGTAATGCAAATGTTTTGTAACTGAAAGAAGCAATTCAAAAGACAATTAAAGTTGAATATGAGATGACATGACGATTGCCACCTGATTCAATGCGCACGTATTGTATTTTATTTACTTTTACTATGACGATACAAAGTAATAAAGTATAAATATCTATAAATATATAATATATAATAAAGTAAAAATATCATACCACTGTATTTCATTAGAAATGTGTCAATATTGGTTATTTCAGACTGGCTCAGACAAAGCATGCTGATCCCCTGCTTCATCGTAGTGCATTTACTATTATACGTTAGCATGAAGCGAATGGAAGTTTGCAAGACGAAGCCGTGTGCGCTTAAATATACAACGTATAATTCTTTCCATTTTGTGTACATTTTACTGTAAACTTCAATTGAGAAAAGGAACAGTACCAGCACGGATACTGACACTTGTATATAACTAATAATTCAAAATTCTATGTTAAATAAGAAATACGTTGTAAGAAAACTATTTTATGAACAAAAACAGTCGAACAGTTTTTCCAAATGTCAAGATGCTCTCACAAGCTGTAATACCGAGAGTGCTGGTGCAAGGAAGCTTCGCAAAAATGTAATGGAAGACGTCATAATTTGCCTAGACAGCTTACTTCCCAAAAGCACTCAATTTTAAACATTCTAATCAAAGCTGTTGGCTTGCGGTCAACTAAATGCCACATTCACAATCGCGCTGTGATTGATTGGTGATCAGTCAAATTATACCCACCATAAATCAACCGGAGAGGTTCTCGTGAGATAGAAATCGCATGGATGGATGGATGGATGGATGGAAACCAAGTTCGGTTGGCGTGCACATTCCTGTTTGCCAGCAGAGGGCAGCAGCGCCGTGTCCTGTGCAGTTCAACGGGCCATTGACGAATTCACAACTCTCAGCCGAAATTGCACTCGACACTGTTTAGTTCACACCTGAGCCAGCAGGCGACAGTCTTGTTCTATAATTTTGTCATTTTCTGAGAAAGATCATCTTGGTCTTTTTTTTCAATATGATTTCAACGGAAGTGGCAAATGTACTCACATTCTGTGTTTAATAAGTACAGATATTTGAGTTTAAACAAAAGACCGGTAAAAATACAAGTACTGTAAGCATTAAAAAAACCGACAGACTATGAAATGTAATAATTTATAACATCGCACAGTAGGGGGGGAAAACATTTCTGCCGAGAATATTTTTATTAACTAAATGAAAAATAATCAGTAGAAAGTATCAAAACACTGTGAGCTTAAAAATAAAATATATAGTTTTAAATATTTATATAGTTGCTTGAAGAGTCAGAAAAGTCACTAATTAGTCCATGCAGAGTGGCTGCTCATTTTGTCACGTGTTCTAGCTCCGCCCTAGTTGGCATGGCAACACAAGCTAAGCTCTGATTTTGCAGGAGACAGAACCGCCTCTCCAAAACATATTTTAAGTGTCCTGCCATTCGTTATGCCTTGTATATTTTTGACAAAACGTGACACAGACAACTCAATAAAACCACTGGTAAAGGTTTTAAATTGTGGGAAAAAAATGCTTAACACTAGTCTGTCTCATTTAAAGACATACAGCCATACGTGGGGCCACAAAATGAATCTCATTAACTTCTCTACGTGAGCTGTTGAAGAGAGGTGTTTGTGGAATCAGTAGTAGCAACTCTGTGGTGTAGGTGGGCATCTTTTAAGATCTGATTAGAAGTGATTACCGGTACAGTTTTGTTATCAATTATTCATTCGCAGGAAAAATAAAATACCACACACCCATAATCTGCACGTCTTTGTGTTAGTATAAACATTGAACAAATTGCCTTTCCAACAATGCGCCTGGGTGTGTGTGTGCACATGCATGACCCAAAAGACAGATTAACTTTTGATTCCTTTTGTGATGGTTTTACGAGCTGATGTGGGTTATGCAACCCCTCCAGGGGTCCAGATGGAGCTGCAGATTACTGGCCCTATGTCCAATGTTTATTAGTAATCTCGACGTTGCTAGTTCTCCTCATCATTACATAACACTGTTGTGAGTTCACTGAGTCACTTTCATCTCAGCTCACATCACCCAACAGAAATTGCCCCGTGTGTGCCGGGTGGCACTTGAGATGTAAGGAAGTGGTGAGTAATGGCAAGAGCCTGATCTCGAGTCCCCATAAACCTCATCCGGACTGCATAGCTCTCTCCCAAGGGGGAGGGATTACAGTGCAACGGAGCATAGGAAGAGACGAATGCTCATTTCTAATTTTCCTCCATTGCTGCTGCACCAGAGTGAATCATAAACTATTTCTTTTTCTTACTGCGAGGAATCAATAAGCATTTATCAAGATCAGTGCAGTGGTTCCCGCACTGCACTGGGTTAGAACGTGCTGACCTTCACAGTCACGCGTGCCACTTTGAAGCAGATCAGTGAGTCGGGCACCATTTGCAGGTGTCTGGCACCAGTCCAGTTACAAGGCAGTGTAGGAGGCCAAAGAGAGGGCAACGAGTCAGTGGGGGCAAAGAGAGGAAAAAAATAAAATCCGCTGCAGATCTGCTGCAATATGCTGGGTATCTTTCCATATTATGTAAAGCTATCCAAAAGAAGGAGCCTTTGCAAAGAAAATAACATTCAAGTTTGAATGTCACTGTCAATGACGTCACATCGTTCGAGTTATGAACTTAAGGAATCGTGTCTGTGAAACAATAAACAACAGTCACATAAGCAAACACATTGACATTTTAGTCCTATGGAGAGCTTTGTAATCACCTGAAACAAAAATAATACGCGCTATGACAGCTACACTTGTCTGTATCGAGCGAGTATAACCGCGGTCATTCAGCACGGTCCGAACCGTCCAAAGTGTGTGTGAGAAATTACGACATGCATGAACACCAAACCAAGCCGGCATGAGCGTAAGCTAGCAACCACTGTTAGCAAGCTCACCTTTGAAATTGCAACGATACGATGCAAAGTAACGTTGGCATGCCAAAACTGAACATGCACGCTCCCAAGATACTGACTTGTGAACACTCCATACCAAAGCTGTTACGTACTGTATGCGGCTCACGCTAATTTGTTGACACCAGATACTGACATATGCGAACCAAATTTCAACACGTGTTCCGCAGATACCAAGGTGGACTCGGTGTCATGTTTCGGTTTGTGACCAACAGGTGGCACTGTAGGGCTCTCCCTGCAGCTGCACACCTGTTGGTCATTATGTCAGTAGCTGTTTAAAAGGAAGTTTGTGTGTTTGTTTGCTGCTGTCATGTTTGTTCCGGTCATGTTTCGGTTATTGATAGTTTTTGCTTCAGTCATGGTTTTGGTTTGCTACTTTGGATTCTTTCTGTTTTCAGGATTTTGTTTTGTTTAGGATTTAGTTTTTTCTGTGTTTTTATCAATACAATTCTTCAAGTACAACCTGCTCCTCCCTCCTGCCTGTTTTTTGGGGTCCACCACCACCCCGCAACGTGACACTCGGGAAGTTAATTCACTTGTGCGCACGAGATACTAACATGTGCCCACTGGCTGGAGCAGCATGTACACCAGATGCTATTGTGTAGGCACCTGACACTAATAAGTGACCACCACATACCAACTAGTGTGCACCAGATGCTAACGCGTACGAGCCAAATGTCAACACGTGGTCATCAGAGACCGACCGTGTGCGGACCAGATACTAAAACGGTTGTACCAGATCTCACCATGTTTGCACCTGACGCTACAGCTCGTGTGCACCAAATACTCACCGGTGCACACTAAATAATCCATCCATCCATTTTCTGATCTGCTTTATCCTCACAAGGGCTTGCTGGAGCCTATCCCAGCTGTCTTCGGGCACACAGAGACGAAAAATCATCCGTGCTCACGCTCACATCTAGGGACAATTTTGAGTGTTCAATCAGCCTGTCATGCATGCTTTTGGAATGTGGGAATTATTATTTGTTGACCGTAACCGAGGCAAAATGTTTCCCCGACACACTTTGGGGCCCCAAAGCACTAGTTGAGAATCATTTAGTTCAATCTTAAGAAAATATAACAACAACATGGGGTTGGTTTCAAATTCTTTATCTCTTCCTCATTGGAAAAAAAAATGCTTTTAATAAATCTTTTAGCCAGTCCGCCATGTTTATGGAATGTGTTGCGGCCATTTCCTACGGAGTCCAGTCATAAACAGCTAAACTTGACATACACGTTCCAAGTGTATTCTCAAGGACGACATTAGAGTGTAATGAGTGTCAATTATCAATGAATATGACAATTTGTCCTCATTCATGCACAATATAAACAACTTATTGCTTTGCTCACTGTATTCTTTCTACTACACTGAATAAATGGCGGCAATGACAGAAAGGCACATTAAGACGAAGTAATATTTGCTCCTGAAATTATAAAATATCACAGAGAAGTTTGAGCAGTTGAACTCGTCTCCCTCATTATCATTTTTTTTTTTTTAACCCTTGTGTGATTTTTCTGTCGACATCATTCAAGGGTGTACTTTCCCCTTGTCCACCGCAGTTCGTTGTATTCCTCTCAAAATGAGTGGAGGATATCATGGTCCACCCTGCGTGGAGCAGAGCAAATAGACGAACAGATGGACAGTCCCAGCGACGCGCTGCAGCGATAAGAGGATTGGGACAGCTTGTTGTTGCTCTTGGTCTAGCTTCAAGTATTTGCGCACAAAGCTGCCGCACGTGAGGACGTCGCCTTGAGACATTTACACACGAGCCAAAAGAGGAGCTCCTTTCCGGACCGTCCGGCGGGCCGCTAAGGTTCACTTTGCCGTGATCAGGCGGCCAGCAGGTATTTGTGCTCAGGCTTCGGCTGCGTCTTCGCCGGTTCGGACGTGAAGACGGGCGTCGGTTCGGATGGCACCTGGCAAGCCTTGTACAGGATGACAAAGAGGATGAGGATGAGGACGCCGACTGCTGAGTTGCAAACGATGGCGGCGATGGCCCACACGGACAGCCCCATCTTCACTTCATGCTCCATAACCAAAGCACGGGGAAAAGAGCTCGGGGGATGTTTCCGCAAAATTCACTTCCTGTGCCACATCACTGAGAGAAAGCCTGAAAACAAACAAACAAACAAACAAAAAAACACACACACACACAATGCCTTTCATTTCCAGGCTCGTGCTCACACAAACACACGCACACAAACACAGACGTGTCTGGGTAGGGTTAGCCTGTCACGTGGATCTGCTGAGTCCACAAGAAAGATGAGCTCGGTAACGACTGCTTTGTGTCAGCCAAGTTTGTCACACGGCCAATGTGCTCTTATCCCTGCAGACACTCAACTTGAATCCATTTGTGCATGTTAGAAGCAACACAACAACAACATCTTTTGTGTCAGCTCGGCCGCATAAAAACGATTTACAATGGGGTGGAAACTTATTCAGGGTATGTTTTCACGAGAGGGACTGCAAGGGATATAAAGGAAGTTTGTGTTGCTTGTTTTCTTGTTGTTTTCTAAAGTTTTTCACGTCTCCCAATTTACAAAATCTTCAAGAGTGGAAAAAAAAACCCCTTCTCATTTGCAAAGCGTGCCAGGATCAAGAACTACTTTGTAGTCCCTTCCAAAAGTGTAATTGTACTATTATATTCTTTGTAGATTTAGTTTGAGGATTTGAGAAATGTGTTTGTGCTGGTAACGGTCAATGCACCCTTTTTTGAAGTTCATTATTTTAAGCGAGACAACAATTCATAAACCTGATGTGCAGTGGTACCGTCAAAACTGGGAAACTGGCTAACAGTTAGCATCTATGTGGCGGTGTTGTTCCCCTATAAGCAATGGATATCGGAACACAAACGGTGCAGCAATACGTGTAGACAATATAACAATATTCGCAGACGTGTATTCTTTATCCTCTGCAAAAAGCGACTAATATTTGTGCAATACTGAGAAGATGAAAGAGGAGCTGATTCTCCTGTACGGTATATCCATCTGTCTTTTTTTTGGTCCACATCAAAATGAACTACACAATGTGCATTGCAGGAGAAAGTGTGATATTTCTTGTAGAGCAAGATTTTATTCGAAAAATCTCTGAATGAGATCTTCATGGGAATTTTTCAATGCCTCCGTATAAATAGAAAATTGAAAAGTAGTGTTTGGCCGACTCATTTTTAAATCATATTTATCCATCCATAGGTATGCATGTATGTGAGGAAAAATAAAAAGCAACAAATGTTAAGAAAGATGCTAAAACACGTTTGGCACTGTCAAAATGTTTGGACATTTTAGCTGCAGAGTGTTTAAGGAGAACATGAGAATGTTATCAGGTTACACAGGTGTGTGTGTGTGTGTGTGTGTGTGTGTGTGTGTGTGTGTGTGTGTGTCTGTACTTCAAGATAAAAAAACAGAACACACACAAATGCGCACACAAGCCTAATGCATTTCTAATGAGGCCTTCTTCTGGACAGCATAAGCTCATGCAGTGGTTCAAATCTTTCGAGAAAACCGCCCAGCCATCCATTTTTTACTGACTTTATAAACGTTGATCCTCATTAGCTGGTTTTTGGCAAGAGGCACAGTACACCCTGGACTGGTTGTCAGATCGATTGCGGGGATCATTATCGTAAAGACAATTTGGAGTCCTCAATAAAACTAACACGCTTGTCTTTTGGAATAAGGGATGAGTACGTGCAAATTTCATGCAGGAGGCCAGGTGCCGAGATTGAAACCTGGGATCTTTTTTGGGGGACCAGTGGTATAGAGGCTGGATGGATGGCTACTGTGGTAAACGATACAAACGCTGTCCATAAACTTTGGGACCAAAAACGCGAGCTGATCTACATGACATTAGCACGATTATTAGTTTTTAAAATTCCTCAACTAAAAACAAGTGCTGAATTTTACGTCTGCAAGCTTATGTTATATTATTAATTAGCATTTTAGGTTTAAGCATCATATTATTTCATGTTAGGATTACCTAAATTTCATTCTGTTGTTTAAGGATTCCTTAGACATGTTTTTATGTTGCTAGCTTCTGATTGGCTGTTGAAGTAAGGGAAAGCCGGAAGTGATTTTAGTTGCGAAGAGCGAGTTCTCGATCGCGCTGCGCTGCAGACGTCTGTTTTTTTCTTTTCAATAAAACTGCATTCAAAGGATTCCTTCTCTCCTTTTGCCGTTCGTAAAGTAGAGCCATCCATTAAAAACAACGAACCCCTCAACTAGCACGTCTACTGATACATTGTTCTAAGTCCAAAAGTCAGTAGTCTACAAACGCGCAACGTTACTCGTGTGGGTGCTCGCCGAGGCTCCAGTCAATACAACTGTCAACACGCAGGGAAGAGATCTCACTGAGTGCGTGTTTCTCTCCCACTTTTACAAAGCAGCTTTTGTGGTTATGTTCACATGACGCCAATAATTGAATGGAAATGGGATGCAAACATTAGCAGCGACCGAGAATGCCCTCTTTGTCCGAATGTGCATCACACGCAACGCGCGCTGCTCTCGCGCTGAGCATGCTAATCAAGTGAACTTTTGCATAATGCATCCCCATTGCGACTTCATCTCATGTGACGAAGTAGGACCTGGACGCATGCAACTCAGATGCAAAAGCGAGACTTGCTTTAGTCAAATATCACATGGTGGTCTGTATGTTTGTAGGGAGGAAAAATGTTGTGTACAAGTGCTCAAATTCCTTTGTTAATAAATACTTTCTCTCACAAAGAACTGTAACAAAAGTTGGAGGCCACCATTGGATTTGTTTTTTTTTTAGCAAAGCTATAATAGCTATTTAAACAAATATTTGTCAGTCTATTAAGTGAATTAAGGGTAACTATGGATTGTCTTGTTCATTTTGTGTCATTAGCATGTCGATATTGAACGAGGACCTGGAAAAACGCGTTTCGTCTCATTGTGTACACTGTAAGTGTTTGAAAATGACAGCAACAATAAAAAAGAGATCGTTGACAAATTGACAATAGAGCTCGAAAAGGCAAAAGTGATGCAGGCTAAAAGTTGTTGCAAGTCAAGTTTAACCCCAAATTATGTTTTACGCATGTCTTGTTTTAATCTATCCAATAACTGCGACAAAAATATCATTAAAAAGAAAACAGTGGCCTTTTCATCCACTTTCATGCATTCCTTCCTCGGAAATAAATATTTTTTTAAAAAAATCAAAATTTTTAAGAATGCAGCATATTTTTGCAGGAAACTTACTTGTTTTTTGGGTGCAGAAATCCTTCCCCCGCTTGTCTTTTACTTTTTACTTTGTTGTCCTCCTCTTCTCCTGCAAAGCACGGACTCATAGTCAGTAGAGGTCCACACCACAAGTCCACTCTTACAGGATAGTGAGAAAGTCTGGAGGGGTGAAAGTAGGTCACGGAAGTGAGCCCGGGCCCTGGTGGGCGTGTGCTTGATGAGCCAGCATGCCGGCGGTCAGCCCCGAAGGTGTCCCAGTCGCTTCACAGTAAATGTTGACAGGCTGCAGGGCGGCGGGTTGAGATAGTGCTTGTCACTACATCGTGGGGCCGTGCATCAGTGCATCGGTCCCTCCCCCACTACACACACACACACACACACACACACACACACACACACACACACACACACACACACACACACACACACACACACGCCCTCCCTCCGTCTCTTATGCTGCTTTTTCAGCTCTCCGCTGAGCTGTTAATTGACAGACACTTTTGGAACATCCAATTAGAGTGCTTTACTCTTCACACCTTGGTAAAAGTCCACAGAGGTGATCTCCTATAATCTTTTTTTTTTTTGAGAGAGAGACAGAGATGCTGGGCTCCCTCACAGTGTAAAATCTACAGGTGTCAAACTCAAGGCCCGGGGGCCTGTTCTGGCCCACCACATCATTGTATGTGGCCCGCAAATGCAAAGCATGTGCGTCAACTTCCATGATCATTGCTAAAATCTGCACCAACATTTCAAATTGTCATGCGTGATTTTTGCAAGATTTGTTTTGTTACCCTGTTTACAGTCACTTGAACAATAATTGAACAAACTATGACCCTGGATTTCTGATTTGGCAATTAGTAATGCATCCATTTGTTGTGCGTGTGTTGAGATTGTACGATTGTACACATTTGATTTACCGTCATAACGGTGCACCACCACGCTGGTGACACTTTGCAAAATATAACAACAACAAACAACTCATTGTAGCTATTTGGCATGGAAGACAATTTGCCCCTACTTAAGCTCCTCTCCCTCCCCTTTTTTGTGGTTACCATGCAGCACAACAACATGGTTCCTTGTCCTAATTCCTTTGTGTGTGTGTGTGTGTGTGTGTGTGTGTGTGTGTGTGTGTGTGTGTGTGTGTGTGTGTGTTTGAGCTCAGCAGGGGTACCATGACCTTGTAAGTCCGGCAGACAAAGGCATTCTTTCAAGGCCAACAGCCTCTTCTTCCTCCACAAATTTCAGACTGAAAGTGAGAAAGTTCAGGAAAGAAACACATCCGGAGCTGCTGGAGCTGCTGTTTAAAGTATTTACAATAAATTCATTCCATACTTTGAAAACAGTTGAATGTCAACATGTCAATCAAGCATCTTACAGCACTTATTAACGAATCCTGCACCGTGTGGCCCAACTGGCATTTTGAACCAAATTAGTTTCAAATCAATATGCCAGTTATTCTTTTATTTTTAACTCACTTGAGAGGATCCAAACTTATCGACACCTCTCTACTCCCTTTCTCTCACTTAGACACACACGCGCTTTAATTAATTCTCATATCTTGCTCTTTCAACCTCTCGTGCCCTCGTCATAAATCCCCCTGTCAAATGTCCTACAAATGTGACCAATTGAATGCGCTGGGCAGGAGACTATTTCATTTTCTCATCAATATTATTATTTCAGACCATGACTCTCACACACGGCGCTCTCATTACTGTGCGGCACATAAACGAGCGAAGTGTTAATCTCAGTTTTGCTATTGTCACCCTCTTCATTCTCCGTTATCACGAGAAGATGAGGGCGGATTCCCCAGCTGAGCATTATGGTTTTCATAAAGACGGGCCGTGGAGGGATATTAGTCTCATATTTTATACTGAGGGTCCGTTTCATAAAGGAGCCGACGCCATTCACTGATGTTATTGTAGCTAGGATGCTTTTGGAGAGCTGTTTTGTTTGTCTTTCATTTGTTCACTTTGGCGAATCTCAGAGCGAGTGAAGAAGTCAGGCTCAATTTTACAACATGAGCATGTGAGGACACCTGCTGGATGATTGTTGACATTGTTCTTACATGTTGAGTCCAATCGTTCGCTGACTGTTGGCCATTTTTTTTTTCGAGCCAAGGCGCACACCTCCAAACAAGAAAATGAAAGGATAAAGAGTGGATAAGAAAAATCTACACAGCAACTCAAATGCCATTTTTATGTGATACATAAGAAAAAATAGACCAACATGAATCTTTTCAGAACGTCGGGCTACTGTATTTTATTTTTGTTGTGAAAATGTTACATTTCTACGAAGATCTGTATGGTTTCAACACGTGTGTGGCGTGTTAAAAAAGGGCATACAGTAAATAAAATCTCAAAGTCTCTCAACTTTTGGGGTGCTTGGATTAACTTTAGGGGTGCTTCAGCACCCCCCCCCCACCCCAAAATGGGCTGGACACACATAGAGATGGCAGTTACCTCATGTGTCATGTTGTGAATATGACTTCATCACACAAGACGAATGCAGAGTTTGGTGGATTTATTGACACTTTATTATCTTTAGTTGTTCATCATAACCTAAAGGACAAAGATAAAAAAATAGATTAAAAAAAAAAGAAAGAAAACCTGAAATTAAGTACTGTAGAATTGTGTGGCCTGTACCTGATCAATCCAGTCGTTGAAGGCGGACACACGGGTGAAGACGGTGGGCTTCTTCTCGTAGTTACAGCCCAAGCCCGAGACGAAACTGGCGATGCCGTGCACCTCCCAGGTACCCTCCATGTTCTTACAGTTCAGAGGGCCGCCCGAGTCTCCCTGAGGAGCAAGACAACATGTTTTATTCTGCTGATGGTTACAGGCAGGCTGACGAGGACTGGCTCAAACCTGGCAGGTAAAATGGGTTTAATGACGAGCAAAAAAAAATAAAACAAATCACTGACTATAGAAATGGCCGTTGTCAAATAATTGCTGTCAACAAACCAAAATATAGTATTTACTGTAGTGGAAAATTTTAAATAGTGAATGTATATAATTCAGAAAGTGCACCGCATTTTCATGGAAAATACGTTTCCAAGGTCACACGAAATTCAAACCGACATTGTCATATTCATACTTCCATTATTTGCTTTGTGAAAATTATTCACAACTATTTAGGTTGCGAATACGTCGCTGTCGTCGGGCGGAATCCGCGTTCCTCCAAAATCAACACTTTTCAGGAAGTTCTGAAAATGGCACTTGTGTGGGAAAAAAAAATATGACGATGATTTACCGAATTGTGACATAGGAGGTTCCGGCCCGACACCAGCGATATTCCCCTAAGATTGTCCTCTCCTCACATCCATTCCATCGAGCGACTTACATTGCATCCAGCCACGATTCCATCCCCACCGGCACACACCATGGTGGTCCTGACAGCGATGCCCCACCAGTCAGGCTGCGAGCAAGTGGGATGGTCAGCCACCGGCATCAAAGCCTGCTGCAGCTTATCAGCAATGGGGCCTCCGGCTAGAACACACATCACACCGTGTGAGCCACCGCTCGCACTACCTGCTGCCAGCGGCTTCCACAGGCAATTGCAAATGTTCAATTTAGGAGCATTAACTGCCAGAAATAAATTTGCCAGCATCTAACGCACGTTATTTTCATCGCAGCTCTAGAGGATTCCCTGGGATACTGCCTCTCGTCAATCCAAACATTATCCAAAAGACTGCGCGAGAGTCAGGATCTGTTCATCTCTAAGATGAAAAAAAAAACCCCCACAAAAAAACAAAACAAAACAAAATCACTTACTGTACAGTCTACCCCATCCAGTGATGAAGCAGGGGTAGAGGTTAGTCAGCAAGGTATCAGCTGCGGGGATGCATGCCAGCTGAACTTGGTCGCTCAAAGTCACCGGCTCAGACAGCTTGATCATGGCGATGTCGTTTCTACGTGAGACACACAGATGGAAGTTCATTGTTTGTAGCAGGTACATTTGGAACCGGACAGCGAGGGCACAACACCAGAAGCAAAGTTGTGTTCAGAATAATAGTGGTGTGCTAAAGTAGGAGTCCAGCTCGAGTTTAAAGTAGCTTTTATTTCCATACATGCATTCAGAACACTGCCCATTATAGTCCAAATCAAAACAGATGAAAATGAATGGACTTTCAGGAATCGAACTAAAATAAATATTTGTTAAAAGATGTTGGCTTGTCTGTCTATATTTGTTGCTGCACCATTTGTGTACAAATACATGTTACATTTACCGTTATTAACCTCGTCACATAGAAGCTATTCATTAGCCCGTCTATGGCGTTTCCCATCATGAACTTGCCGTGTTTCCAATACATTTGTGTGTATGGAAATAAAAGCTATTATTACAAATGTTGAGGTTTAAGATGTCCTTTATTCTTACCCATTCCCTCTCTTTTTAGTGTTATACGTCTTCAGCGGCTTCTTCCTTGAGAATGTTATTGTCAATGTCCATTTTGTTAAAAATAATAAAATAAAACAATCGGTATACTTTGAGCCTCAAAATATTGTTTCTCAATAAAGCCACTAGGGGTCGCACTTTTCCCATTGCAGTGCGTTTAATTGTGCGCGGGTCAATTGCCTGATGTGCAGGGGTATTATTATTATTATTATGATTTACTCATTATTATGTGATTGTCCAGTTCAGTTTCCTTTGGCTGCATCGTATTGCGAGCGGCGGGACTTACTTACTTTTGTGAATACACTGCTGCTACTTTGGACACCAATCCAGAGTATGCTCTTGTGCTTTGAAAAAGCTTTAAAAAGTGCAGAAAAAAATGCTCAAAACTACTTTCGCGTGGATCTGCAAAAATGAAAATGCTGTGATATACATGCTGGGTCAGAATGCCACCTTTTAATGAAACACTCGGCTGGATTTTATTTTTAAAAAAAAGAAAAAAAGAGAATTTTAAGTACAATAGGGATCTTTCTGCTTGTTTTCCACTGGAGAAGAATTATGAAACACATTGCATTGGGTAAAAGAAATATAACCAAAGAAGCTTTCGTCCACGATTGTTGCTTCTGTTGCGACGTACGAACGACTGCGCTGAACGCGTTTCTTGCCTTTTCACAATCGAATGTAACCAATGTTTACTCGCATTTATTCACTTTGTGACCAGTTCCCAAATGTTAGCATTGTAGACAAACGACCCAAGTGGCCCTTAAATGGAAACAAACCATTTGGAATTTGTCTTGGAATTTGGAATGAAATCACTCCATGTTAATTCTCCCATTTTTGGGGGGGTGGGTGGGGGTTTAAAATGAAGCACGTCTTACCCGAAAGCCACAAAGATGGGGTTCCATTTCTCATGCACAATGATCTTCTCAGGCAGGATGGCCTTGGAGCCGACCTCCTCCTCCACCAGGTTGTGTTTGCCC